GCACAGCACCTCGGTGAGGTCGTCCATGACGGCGGTCTCTTTGGGGTCGAGCAGGCTGAACTCGCGGGCGAAGAGGATGAAGTGGACGTACAGTGTGTTCAAGTGTCCGTGCAGCTCCAGGGCCAGCGTCTCCTTGAAGTGGGACCAGTAGATGTGGCCCAACACATGGAACAGGAACTTGCAGATCTTCTTCACCAGGGACTCGAAGGAGCTGGGGAATTCCCTGCCTGCGGGCGGCCACAGCGTCAGGGCCACAGGCACTCACGGAGCCTGGGGCGGCCTCACCTGCCGCCGCCACCGCACCAGTCCTGGAGGAGCCACCCTCAGGCCCACAGGCTGCCTCCGCCTGCCCGCCGCCCCGTCTACTTGGCCTAGGCTCCCGAGCCGTGGCCGCCGGCTCTGCGGGAGGGCCCGTGTCTCCCTGGTGGACGCTCAGGGCTCTCCCGGCCGGGCAGCACAGGCAGCTGCACTGGCCAGTGAGTGGCAGCAGGCCTGCCCAAGCCTGGACACAGGCTCAGCTGTGCTCACCGGCCCAGGACCCTGGCAAGGAGGCGGCCCAGAAGTAACGGCAGAGGCCGGGGAGGGCCCAGAGTGTCCGGGGCGGACGGCACCCGCCTGGTGTGGGGTGTGGGCCAGGGACACGCACCGTATTTCGTGGGGAACACGTCCTCATCAGTCACCAGCTTCTGCACGGAGCTCATGACAAAGTCGACGTACTGCGGGGCTGTGCACTTGACCTTCTTCCCCCTCTCGTCATACCAGTAGTACTGTCTGTGGGGACAGAGGCGCGTCAGGGCACCCTGCCTGGAGCACCCCACCGGCCTGTGGGAAGGCCAGGCCTCAAGGCAAAGGCCAGGCCCGCAGCAGGGACGGGGAGGACCCAGGCGTCCCCCTTCCAGGCAGACACGCCGCTCTGGCCATCTGCAGCGCCAGACCAGGGGTCTGCCTGCACCCAGGAAAGAACACACTGCGGACCACGTCTGAACACACGTGTAGAAACAGGTCAGGGCCAGGTTGGATGGCTCAGCCTGTAATCCCAGCACTTGGGAGGCCGAGTTGAGAGGACTCCCTGAGCCCACAGGTTCGAGACCCATCTGGACAACTTGGCAAGACCTTGTCTCTACAATAAGTCAAAAAGTAGCCGGGTGTGGAAGCGCGTGCCTGCAGTTCTGGCTACTTTGAAGGCTGAGGCAAAGGATCGCCGGAGCCCAGCAGGTCGAGGCTGCGGTGGCCAGGAGCGGCCACGGCACTCCAGTCTGGGCGACAGAGTGAGACTCCAACTCAAAGAAAAAGAAAAAGAAACGGACAGGTCATCTCGATCCCCTCCCCTCCCACACAGCCTGAGCTTGACTGCTTTAAAGGGCATGCGCTGTTTCTACACTGTGCTTAGGAGCAGAGGGACCTCGTCGCGCCCCAAGCCTGAGGCTGTGCCCTGCTCCCGCCACTGGAAGCCAAGCCCCCTCGGTGTGCCTGGCGCTGTGGCCTCTGTGGGTGCTCACAGACAGCTGCTGGGTTGAACAGGCTGATGGGGGCCAGGGTCACGTGGCGACCCAAATGCCCTCCCCAAGCCCCGCCTGCCCGTGAGAGCTATCCAGAGGATCAGTGTGTCCTCCCTCTCCCCCAGCTGTCCCTGGGGTCCCCAGACCACAGTGTCGTGAGACAGGCCCCCGAGGCCGGGCTGAGGCCTGTGTTCACGGGATCCAGCCAGGACAGCCTGATGTCAGCTCCTGCGCCTACCCCCACACCTACACGCTGACCCCATGCGCCGGGCCACAGGCATGTGCCGCCTGGACAGCAGCTGAGGCTAGATGCCAAAAGCCCGTTCCACAACGCAGGTTCCAGAGAGAAAAGCAGCCAGAGGCCGCTGCAGACTGTCCTGTTGTCCTGGAGACAGAAGACTCCGCTGTGCCTTTTCCTTTTGAGTGACCACACGGTAAAATCCCCATCCTTGGCATACAATTCTATGAACGTTTCCTGTGCACAGATTCACGTAGTAACCGCCACAACCAGTAGGATGCTGCAGGCATGTGGAATGGGCAGTGCAGGAGTCACTGGGCACAGGCCTCTGGGACCCAGCTGCACTGCGGTGCACGACAGGCAAGACACGGTCACCGCAAAGAGGGATGCAGTGGGCCACGCAGCTCCTAAGCAACACCCAACGTGTTTCCAGTCTGAGGCGATGACAGATCGAGCTGTGGTCTGTGTGCACACTCTCCGGGGCGGATGCCCAGGTGGAGTCTGGGTCGCACAGTAGGCATGCGTGGGGTGGCTGTACCGCAGACACCCCGGCGCTGGCCACAGCCTCACCCTGGCTTCTGCAGGTGTGTGAGCAGCAGTGCCTCGGCACTGCTCTCTGGGCAGGGTCCAGTCCTGGGTGCAAGATTCGCCCCCTACTGTGTCCTCCCCAGGGAACGGCCTGCTCAAGTCCTTGGCCCACGGCTGACTGCACCGCCGTTTCCTTACAGACGTGTTGTGTGAACTCTACATACACTGGACACTGGGCCTTCGTGGGGTATGTGGTTCGCCAATGTCTTCCCTCCCAGCTTGCAGTTTTGTTTTTTTTCTTAAAAGTATCTTTTCTCAGAGCAAACGTTGCACGTTTTGATGAAGTCCAGTTTATTGATTCCTCATCAATGCATGGCACCCTCGGGGTCAAGTCCAAGAACTCTTTGCCGATGCCAGGTCATGAATGTGTCCTGCATTTCTTTGAAATGTTTCATAGCTTTACCTTCTTCACATACGGTGTGAGGTTTAGGTCCATGTTTTGCTTCTGCACACGGTGTGCCGAGCAGAATGTCCTTTCTCCCTGGAATGTCTTCATCCTTTTTTTTTTTTTTTGAGTTGGAGTCTCACTCTGTCGCCCAGACTGGAGTGCAGTGGCCGCTCCCGGCCACCACACTCTCGACCTGCTGGGCTCCGGCGATCCTTCCGCCTCAGCCTTCCAGGTAGCTGGAACTACAGGCACGCGCTACCACACCCGGTTAATTTTTTGATTTATTATAGAGACGAGGCCTCGAACCCGTGGACTCAGGCAATCCACTCACCTCAGCCTCCCAAAGTGCGGGATTACAGGCTGAGCCACCGAGCCCAGCTCCTTCATCCTTTTCAGCGCTCAAAGGGCCATGCCTGTGGGCACGTCTCTGGACTCCACTCCGCCCCACTGACCTGTGTCCACTCCCCCACCCACACACACTGCCTTTGTTACCGCAGTCTTACAGTCAGTCTGTGAAGTGTGAGATTCCTCCAACTTACTGTTCTTTCCAAGTTGTTATGGCTATTTCATTCACCATGCCCTTTCACGTAAGCGTCTTAATCTATTTTCTAGAGACACAGTCTTGCTCTGTCACCTGGGCTGGAGTGGCAAGATCACAGCTCACGGCAGCCTCAAATCCCTGGCCTCCCAAAGTGCTGGGATTACTGGTGTGAGCCACGGCACCCAGCCCCTGTAAGCTTTCGGCCGAGCTGATCCGCAACTACAAATCTCTGCAGGGATTTTGACTGAGACCACATGGAATCCACAGATCAGTCTGGGGGGAAGTGACGTCGTAGCACAGGGAGTCTTCCAGCGGATGCATACAGCACGCACGCCTCCCTTGTAGGCAGGACTTCGATATTCTGCGGGGGGCATTCTGTAGTTTCCAGGGCACAGACCCCGGGAGTGTGGTGACCAATTTGTTCCACAAGGTACCCCCGCGGGAAAGGGGAGCTACTGCGTCCCTACACTCCCACACCAGCACGCTGAGGTGCCCAGGGAACCCAGCACAGCGGGCAGCGCTGAGCCCACATACACCGTGCATGCAATGTCTGCTCCTGCTGGCATGCTTCTCAAGCACAGCAAGAGATGAACAATTCACGCCACAGGGTCCTCGCTTCCCCATGGCTGAGGCCTTCCAGTGGTCCGGTGCCTCCTAGCAGGAAATGTGCCATCAGTCGGAACACGTGTCTGCTCGTGTCTCCCCTGCACATTTAACTGCGCACTGAAACGCAATGTGGCCACCGTCTGCAGTCCGAGGTGTGTCAGCAAAGCCCCCGGGATCTCCTCCTCCTTCAGGACCTCAGACCACGAGTGCATCCTCACAGCAGGCCTCGGCCACCTCGGCACCTCTGGATATTTTGCTCTTTTTCTTAGTTTCTTAAGATGAAAGCTTAGACTATTGATTTAAGATCTTTCTTCTTTTTCTAAAGTAAGCATTTAGTCCTTTAAATTCCTCCCCAAGCATTACTGTAGCTGCGTCCCACAAACTGATACGCTATGATTTCAGTTGTGACCAGTTTAGAGTAGTTTTTAATTTCCCTTGAAGCTGGGCTCGGTGGCTCAGCCTGTCATCCCAGCACTTTGGGAGGCCGAGGTGAGTGGACTGCCTGAGCCTATGGGTTTGAGACGCGCCCTGGCAACTTGGTGAGACCTTGTCTCTACAATGCAAAAAAAAAATCAGCTGGGCATGGTAGCATGCGCCAGTAGTTCCAGCTACTTGGAAGGCTGAGTCGGAAGGATCCCCGGAGCCCAGCAGGTTGACGCTGGGGTGGCCATGAGCATGCCACTGCACTCCAGCCTGGGCGACAGAGTGAGACTCTGACTCAAAAAATAATAATGAAATAATTTCCCTTGAGCCTTCTCTGGCCCGTGGATTATTCAGAGATGTGCTGATTTCCAGCGTGGAGATTCCTACCGTTGCGTCCCTGATTTCGAGTCTGTTGTTTGGAGCATCCACACCGAGCACCACAGCTTCCTCCTGACGAACGGGCCCTTCCGTCACACGCTCTTTCCCGCTCATTCCTGGAGGCTTCCTTGGCGCTGAGCGCCCCTTGGCACGAAGGCAGCTGCCTCCACTTTCCCCTGGCCAGCACCTCCGGGCCCCTCTCCTTCCTCCCTCCAGCTTCTCACACGCTTCCATCACACAGAGTAGCACCACATGCCGCGTGTCTTGGGGCCTGTGGGACATGTTCCCCGGAGGGCCTGGCGTCCTTCCCCAGGGGCCCAGGAGATCTCCCGCCCCCCCACGTGTGAGGATGCCGTTCCGCTGCTACAAGCCACCCAGTCTCTGTCTTGGCAGCCCACACAAGCAAAGACAGGGAATGCCTTGTGACACCACACAGCAGACTCATTTCACACGTCCATTCTTCTGAACCCCGCCTTGTCCCCAGTATGCTTACGCCACCCACACCGATGGGCCGTCTGGACGAGGGTCCCCACCATGGCTGTCTGCTCCCTGCTAGTCCCTGGTATGCCCCTGCCTCCTACAGTGATGGGGCCATCTGGACGAGGGTCCCCACCATGGCTTTCTTCTGCTCCCTCTGCTTTCCGTTCCTTGTAGAATTTCTTCTTTCCGGCTTTCGTCAAGCTGCATTTTTTGGTATTCCATTTTAATGCGTCGCCTGGGGACTCTGCCCCTCTTGAGACAGCTCTTCCAAAGGGAATGCAGACTTGCTCCCCTTGGAATCCCCACACTCCACTCGACCAAAGCGCAGGTGCCCCCACCTCGTGGCCCGAGAACCCGCCTGTGCCGGACCCTGCCGGATGAGGCCCTCCCGTCTTGTGCCCATCGCACCGTCTGACCCGGGCGGACGAAGTCTGCCCTCGGTCGCCGAGGCGCTGCCTCCTGTGTGAAGAGCTCCCGCGTGTGTCTCCAGAGCCTGGCCCCAACTTGCTCCTGAGGCACGCTCCTGGAGGCGGCCCATGGGTGACCACGCTTCCCCCACACCGACAGACGTGTGGCGCTGGCTTCTGGCCCCCTCGGCAGGAAACTGGGTCGCCTGGCATCCCCGTGAGAACACTCCTCCGGCTGCCCAGGTCTCCCTCTCCGCCCGGCTTTCAGCAGTCTGGCCAGCACGTGTCCACACACGCTTCCTTGGGCTAGCCTCGTGTGGACTCTGTGTCCAGTGGAAAGTTCCCAGCCGTCCCTGCCCAGCGTGTTCCTGGCCCCATCCTCACTTCCTTCTGCCGCTGGGATTCTGGCATCGGCCCGTGAGCACTGCCCTGCAGGCACCGGCAGGATGCAGACGGGCCGTGGCCCGCGGGCCTCACGCGACCCAGGCCGACCTGCTGGTCTTGCGGACGGTGTGCGGCCCCAAGGCCCTCCACGAGCCCCCTGTCTCTCTGAGGGCTCACACGCAATGTTAGTTCACAGACACGACAATGACCCCACGAAGTGGGCCACGGACAGGAGCCGGGAGGAGCACAGAGGCAGCCCTTGCCCTCCTAGGGGTGCGTGGCATGGCCAATGTCTACCAGCAGGTCTGCTCACACCAGACCTGCTCTCGTGAAGAACGCTCTCTGACAGACCCAGTATCAAGAGCACGCAGGCACAGAGCAACTGGGAATGGTGCTGGGTTCCCAGCCTCCTCTGCAGAAAGCTGAAACAGCACTTGGCTGGCCAGCATCCTGCTAAGCCTTGGAGCCACAAGGCTCTCGAGACTGCCCTGGTCCCACGTGGAGCTTACACAGCACCTGCCCACCTCCCTGGGCTGTACCATCTGATCCTGCCAGGGCACTGAGAGTGGAGTGCCAGCTGTCACCTGCACACACCCCATGTTACCCAGCACCAAGTCTGTCCCCTTGGGCCATGAGGGCGGGGCCCATCAGGGCTGATGCCCAGGGGACGCCTGCCACCAGCCTGTGTGGAGGCTCTGGTGGCTGCCGATGGCAGAGCTCAGACTTGTCTTGGGACCGCAGCGTCCTGGGCCAGGAGCCCGGAAAGCCATGTATGTCGGCAAGGTGACTTTCAGGATGGTGTGCATACACAGATGTTCACACGTGTGTGTCTGTCCCTGGCCTGCAGCATCCTGATGGCACGGGGACATCAGGAAGGGAGCAGCTTCCACCCCCTCCGGCCGCGCTCACCGGGCTGAGTCCCGCAGGCCCAGCCCCCTGCCTGCAGCCAGCCACAGTCGCTTCCGCCACCAGCTCGGTGGCACCCTTCCCACAAAAGCAATCGGGGTGCTGGGTCCCCAGGACACCCACCATGGAGGAATGCGTGTGCATGTGTTTTCAGGAGGGAGTTGCCAGCACCAGGCTGCTGCGAGCCGTGAGAAGGTGTCTCAGCCCCAGAAGTGAGCCGGTGGGGCAGGGGGTCAGCGGCGGCTGCTCAGGCCCACCCTGCGCACTCATGGGAGGGGGGGCCGTAGGGAAAGCTCAAGCTCCAGGGCCTTGGACTCCACGCTGGGCATCCCTGGAACACGGCCCTAGCCACGGCCCATCGGCTCCCACTGGCTCCTGGCACCTCCCGCACGGCTGGGCTATCGCCCTCTCAGGGACAGGACGCTGCAGGAGAGCTGATCCTGAGTCCTCCCAGGTTTCCAGGTGAGAATGCAGAGGGGACAGGAGTCTGGGCAGCAGGCTGCCACCACTGGCCCCACCCCACCGGCCCCGAGTCCCCACGAGGCGCCGGGCAGGGACTCACGTGTTGCACACGGCCATCGTCTGACACGTCTCTCCTGTGCAGAACTCCGAGATTGTGCTGTACTGCAGGTTGATGTGGTGGAAGAAAGTCGTGGCTGGAAGGGAAGGGGAGGAGCCTGATGGGAACCCCTGGGGCCTGTCCCGCTCTGCTTCCCGCCCCCACGTGCCAGCCTGTCTGTGGGGCACACGTTCCCCAGACAGCCGGTGGGAGCGCAGGGCACCAGCCCCGGGTGGTCCTGTGGGAGGGGAAGGGGCCGCCCACCGCCCACCGCCCATGCGCACTGTTGCTGGCCAGCCACTCGTGGAGGTCAATTTCGCGGGGCAGCACCACCAGCTCCTTGAAGGCGAAGTCGGCGATCCGGGACCGGGCGTGCTCCGGCTCCAGGTAGGCCTTCTTCTCCTCCACGGCCGGCCTCTTGCCGTTGGGCTTCGCTTTAGACTTCCTGCCGAGAGAGGGACGGCACGGTCACACGTCTGGCCGGCCCGGACCACATGGGCCCCCAGGGCGGCCCTGTGTGTGACAAGGGCAGGGGCAGAGGGGCCGCCCAAGCCGCCAAGGCACTCTCGACCCATCGCAGGCAGGGACACCACAGGAAAGCCTCGGCCCCCCAGCACCGCCTTCCACGCTGGAGTGCCTGGGCCGGCCACGCCAAGGACCACCCTCCCCGACAGCCTCCTTCGGGCCAGGGAGGGACCTGGGCTCCGCTTCCATCCAGCACCAGGAGGCAGCAGAAGCAAGCCCTCTCCCCCGGCCTCCTCCCAGCCAGCCGGCCGGCTGCTGCCCTGGCTGCCCTGACGAGCATACCCTGGGGCCTGCGGGGCACGGCGGGCCCGACCTCCCCAGGAGGCAGCGTGGGGAGGCAGCCCGGCCAGGAGCTCTGCGCAGCCCCGTTCTCACCAGCCCAGGGGGCGGCGTGGGGGCGGGGTGAGGTCCCTACAGCAGCCTAACCTTGTCCCCGTTTCCTTTTCCTGCCTCCTGTTTTGAGAAGTTGTTAGTGGCTCATTTAAGAGGAAGAGAAAGGAAAGATGCCAGGGAGATATCTCCCTCCCAGCTTCTCATGGCAGACCTTCCCTTAAAAGGCAACAAATGCTCAGCCTCCAGGGACAGGGCGGGAGGGCCAGAGCTGAGGGCACGGGACAGGGCCCAGGCGGCCAGGGGCTCCCAGACCGCCTCCCTCCGAGAGCAAACTCTCCAGAGGGTGAGGCATGGGTCTACAGGGTGGAGGCACAGGCCCAGATGCAAGCTTCTCTGCACACCCCACAGCCGCGACCTGGCACAAGTGCCCAAGCCCCACAGCCTCTGCAGGGCCATGCCCTGGGGGTCCACTGCAGGGTGGGCTCTCCTCGTGATTCTGGCTGGCCCTGAATGCCGGCTGCGGGCCTGTGCCTCCCACTGGTGCTCTCCGGCATGCCATGTCCCTCCTGGCCAGCCATACGCACTCCACCTGCCCATCTGGGTTGCAGTGGGGCACACTGCCATGTGGCTGCCCGCCCAGCCCAGCCTGCAGTTGAAGGGCTGCATCACCAGCCGACGACTGGGGCGGCCACATGAGCCATCACACAAGCTGCCGGCGCAGCCTCGCTGTGAGGTCAAGCCTCCTCTGCTGATGGCCTGTCTACACCTGGGGACCGTGGGCCCTCCAGGCCCAGGCTGCCCTTCACCAGCGATCCCAAGAGATCAAGCAGGGGAAGCTCCTGGAAAGTCGGCTTCCCTGAGTCGGGGTTGAGGCTCTGGCCACGGCTCTGGGATGCGGGGCTGGTGCCTCAGTCTCCAGCTGCCCGCGCCTGCCCTTCCTGAACCAGCAGGTTGGGCACAGCAGCTCCCCAGCCCCCGAAGTTTCTCCTCCAGCGTCATGCTGCCCCCTCGCCCAGGGCCAGCCTGGGCCCCAGAGCGAGGTGCACTCTGGGACAATGTTCCTGCTGGCCCCATCATGAGCTTCCAGCCTTCCTCACGGGCTGGACAACGGACAGTGGCGTGAGGGATGACACGGCACAGCCTCTGCCCTGAAAAGGATGGGGTGCTGATGGAGAGACTTCCTCGGGAGGCCCAAGTGCCCGCCACACCTATGCCCCGCCCCCAAGTCTCTCCTTCCCCTAAGGGCAGGCTCCCGGCTGGGGGGAGTCGCCTGACTCTCACACCTCAACCACGCGGCAGCTGTCACCGTTCTCGCGGGCACCCCCGACCATGCCTGGCAGGGAGCGCAAACCCTAGGCTCGCGGCTCTGACGCAGGCTCTGGGCCCAGGCCCGGGGGTCCCACGCTCAGCCTCTGTGGCCAGGCTGCACGCTGCTGAGCCCGCACGCCTCACCTGCCACCAGTACGAGCTGTGGTCGCGGGTGCGAAGAGACTGCACAGAAGGGGCTGGGTGGCGCTGGGCCTCCGCACACCGCAGAGCTGCCGTGGCCCTCCTGGGAAGTGAGCGGAGGGCTGGCACGTGCATGCACAAAGCCTCCAGAACAAAGACCCTGGCGCTGCGCCGGGTCCCACCAGTGGGCCCTGTGGCTGGCCCTGTCTGGCAGGCATATCCATGTGGGAGGGGCTGGGCCCCGCGGTAGTCCTCGTCCCTGTTGCCCACACCCCCCAGCCCCACCTGCTCCTGACGCCACGCCTGTCCAGTGGGCTGTACCTGCTTGCTCATGCGCCAGGCCTGGCCACTTCCCTGGGCCTGCAGGAACCTGGCACGTCCCACACTCCCACCCTGGCTGCAGCACCCATGACCTGTGCTCCCTGCTTCCCCAGCACCCAGCCGTCCACCTGGACAGGCAACACTGGGGGTGGAGGGACAACTCAGAAAGGCGTCGGCGCTGCTGGGCTCTTGCCAGAAACTTCAGAACCACAGTCCCCACACAGAAGACCCCATCCTGCTCCTGTCCAGCTGCTGAGCTGCCTCTCAGGCAGAGGGGCCGGGGAGTGGGCTGGGAGCCCCTTGCCCCTCTTCCACCCGAGAAAAAAGGGCAACACAACTGTGTGCCACACATCCACCCAACGGCACCCAAGTTCACCACCAACAGACATCTCGGCCACCCCCACATCCCACAGTGGGTGCTCCCAGGCACGGAGACCCTGTCCCAACGTCCACAGGACAGGCTTCCAGGTACGGAGACCCCATGTCCCCTGGCCCCAGCATGAGTACCCATGAGCCACTGCAACCATCATCCAGTAGGCATTCCCTGACCTCTAAGGAGTAACAAGCAACTTGCAGATCTTAGAACACGATAAATCCTGTGGCACCCACAATGGGCATGGCTGGTGCTCTCCAAGGCAGCAAGCAGGGTCCACTGGGCTCTATGAGACACGCAGGTGCTGGGAGCAGGAAGGGGGGCGGGCTGAGCCCTCGCTGGGGACCAGGACCCCGAGGCGTGAGGGCCTGGGACCTGCCCTTTCTCTGAGCCTGGCTTGCCCTGCCAGCCCCGCAGCCCTGGTCCCAATCCCAGCCCTGCCGTCTCAGGCCTCAGGCAGATACCAGGACGAGTATGGTTCTCCCGAGATGGGACACAGGGCGGACACGCGGGCATGTCACAGGAAGTTGAGAGGCCTGGAGGCCCCGAGGATGGGGCAGTGGCCAGCAGGAGGCCCCGCTCAAGCAGCCCCTGGGACAAAGAGGAAGTTGGAGGCAGAGGAATGGAGGGGCCCACTCCATGGAGCTGGGTCAGTGCCTCGAGCGCGATGTGGAAGCTGCCGGGGGGTCTCAGGGGGCTTGAGGAGGGAGCCGACAAGGCGGTGGCCCTGCTGGGCCCTGGCTGTGGGCTCCCACTCCAGGCTGTCTCGGGGTGGGGTGTGGCGGCTATGAGGGGCTCAGAAACCCAGTCCCCCAGCCAGGCCTGAGAGTCGTGGCTACCCCAGGGCGTGGGGGAGGCAAAGATGATGGGCCAGGTGTGCGCTGCCTCCTGGGAGGGCATGGCCCAGGGACCCTGCCCGGCCCACTCCAGGCCCACAGAAGCCTTGGTCAGGGCAGGCGTCAAGGGCAGGCCCACCGGAGCCCAGGAGTCAGGCCCTCGGGACCTCCTCCCCCGAGAGTGGCCCGGGCTCTGCAGACTCCAGCCCCGTCACTGACAGCAAGGGCAAGACACGCGGGGAGCAGCCGCATGCCACGTGCCTGCACCCTGGGGCCTCAGTGCCCCCGTTTCCCAGGCAGCCACCGGGGGCTCAGATGGCGCTCGAACCCCCAATCCTAACACTGCATCCTAATGCCGTCCATCGCAGGGCCTCGGAGGCCGGGCTTTGGGAAGGCCCTGTGGCCCACCCGTCTCGGCGTGGCCCACACTGCCCACAGGCTTCGGCTGCAGGACACTGGGGCGGACAGTGAGCCACTGTCTCCTCAGGTTACTGTGCCCTGGGCAGCATCCCAGACAAAGCTCGCTGTCACCAGCCAGCGGCTCCCTACAAAGGAGGCCCGGAGAGGAAGGAGGGCAGGAGGGAGGCCACACCCTAGACCACACGGCCACACAGAGCGAGGTGGCCTGGGTGTGAGGGGCACGCCCACCTCCCGCAGAGACCGTCCCTTCCAGGCAAGCCCCTTCCCATCCTGGGGGGGCCCTCTGGCTGGGGCCTGGCAGCTGTGGGCTCAGGCCGTCAGTCCTGCTCCAGCTTCTGTGGCGCTTGCCCCACATGTAACCTCAGACATGCACACACACGCGCACACACATGTGCACCGTCCTTCACACATCACTGCTGCCAGTCACGGTTCCCGATGTGAACCCACTGGCACCCCCACTTGCCCTCGTTCCCAGAACCGCCTGGAGGGACACCTGCAGGCTGGGCAGCCTGAAACCCACGCCAGGAGCCCCGCCAAGTGTGGGTGCCACCTGAGAGGGACCCGAAGGCAGGAGCCACCTACTGCCGCTTTGAAAACGCAGAGCCACGGAGACGACGGACAGTGGGAGTTCTCATGAGGAAAAAACACGGCCTTGGCTCCAAATTCGGGCAGGTGTGGAGGGACGACCACGGCAGGGGCCCGACTCCCGCCAGTGTGCCCAGGCTCCGGGACTCGCAGCCCCGCTGGGGAGCCCGCCGCAGGCAAGGACCCTGCTGCTGCACTTGAACTACGCGCCTTGTCCCCGCCCCTCACATCCACATGCTCACCCATACGCACACACTCACACAACAGGCCAGGCGGCCACAGCAGGTCCAAAAGAAGAGGCCAGAGACGGTCAGAAGTGGCCTCCGGCAACACCTCCGGGCCACCAGCATGCAGCCAGGCCCCAGGACTGTGGGGCACTCCAGGTCACCAGGGCGCACACACGGGTAGGACACAGGCAGCCACAGCTGTGGCGGCCACGGCACCCTGTCCAGCAGGCTCTGGGGGCACAAGGCAGGGCTCCCGTGCTGGTGAGATGGGGTCACCCCAGAAAGCAGGGACCACCCCAAGGGGCCGCGTGCTTCTGCCCCACCCACTGCAGCCTTCTCCCTCCCACAGAGCCACTGGCTGAGCAGCTCTCTCTGCAACGCCCCAGACCCAGCCTGCCAGCAAGGGCAGCAGACAGCCACCACTGCCACCCACCCTGGCATCCCGCACGCACGGGCGCCCGCCACTGCCTCCCACCCAGACCAGCCAGGCTGGTCAGCAGAAGCTCCCACCGAGTCCTGGGCCAGGCTGGCGGGCTCACCTGAGCACGCGGCTGACTGCCCAGAGTGCAGTCTTGCAGCGGAGTCCTGCTCTGGGGGACTGGCTGCTCACAGCTTGATCTGCAGGGAGACCGCCGCGGTGTCTGAGCATGACGTGGGGTGCCGAGGCAGAGGGGATGTGGGAGAGGGCACGCGCCTGCCGCCACAGCCCACCCTCTACCCTCGCTGCGGGCCGATGGGACGTCTGGCAGAGACAGCCACTCCCTTGGCAGAGGTAGAGGCTGCCAGACTGGTTAAATAAGGGAGCGTCCGAATGGGCCTTTGCAAAGTGGCACGGGCTGGCGCAGTGCCAGTGGGGGCGGGGCAGTAAGGGAAGGATGGGCCGGCCCCAGCCTGCAGGAAGGGCCCATCAGAGAGACCGGGCCCACCCCAAGGCCCTGACACGTCCCAGGGGAGCCCTTCTGAGCACAGGTGGCCCCTCGCAGAGCCCAGCAGGCAGGGCCACCCAGCAGGCAGGGCCTCGAGCATACTGCCGGGCCACTTGAGTGGCCTTGGAGAGGTAAGGGCCACGGTCAGTGTCTGGGGTGATCAGGGGTCCTGAGCTGGCGCTGGACTGAGGCCCCTGCAACAGGGGGCCTGCTGGCCGAGGGCCTGAGCACACAGAGCCCGACAAAAAAGGCGTGGCGCTTCCCCGCGGGAGTGGAAACGGTGGGGCACTTCCCCACGGGCGCAGAAGGCTGCGTGCTGCCTGCCTTCCAGCAGACCTGCTCATCCCGAAGGCCAGGACGCTGTGAGGGCGACCACCTCCTCGCCTGGATCAGTCTCGGCTGGGCGCCAGACTCGCCGCGGACCTGCCGGCGAGAAGCCTCGTCCGCACAGGAGCGCGTGCCCTGAACCTCCACCACCGCCACAGACCCGAGAGCCCGTCCGCCTGTGTGCAGGCCTGCAGGTGCCAGCGCTGGCTCAAGCGCTGCGTGTGGGGCAGAGCCATTGGAGAACAGCAAGGGACATCTCCCCGGCTGCCTCTGTGGAGAGAGCGTCGCAGGGCCAGGGGCCGTCCCATCCCCGCACGCACTCGCAGAGCCGCTGACCCGGGAGGCGGCACAGGCCCGGCTCTGCACACTCCAGGACCCTGCGCAGAGGAGGCCGTCCCGGGCTGGCGCCCTGTCCCCTCCAGCCAGTCCTGCAGCCACAGAAGCAGAGCCGGCTTCTTTCCACAGAAGACGAGCCTGCTGCTCCCTGGGAAGCTGCGAGAGGCAAGACACCGTGACACGCCCCACGCACTCACCAGATCTCACTCTGCCCTGGCAGAAGCGTCCCTGCAGCCCCGTGGTACCACATGCACTTGGCCATCGAATGCATGGGTGCCCTGGAGGGTCACCAACAGGGGGGACACTCGGAGGGCCAAGGGAGACAGCGGGAGGGCCAGGGCCAGGCCAGTGAAGTGCCTTGTGCACCACAGGGTTGGGACTAGAAGACGTGGAATTGCCGGCTCCCGGGGAGGTACGGCCTAGACGGATGAGGCCATGCAGAGGCTCAGGGAAGGAGGACAGAGTCTGCCTGGGGTGGAGGGCACAGCGCCTGGGGGGGCCGCAGGCGGGCTCGGCTACAAGAGACCAGGATCTGGGCAGGCGGGGCTGGGGTGGTGCTGAGGGAACATGGCAACAGGGACAGTCGGGGAGCATCAGGACCCGGGGCTGGCAGGTGGGGCAGGGACGTGCACGCAGAACCAGGATGCAGGGCGGGTGCACAGGTCCCCAAAGCTTCAGGCAGGGCCAGTGGGTCTCATGAGGGCCAGAGTGGCTGTGTGGTGTGCACGACTGTCCTGGGAGCAGCACGCTGGCTGTGGAGGTGCGGTTCGCGTGTCTACACTCAGGGGTGTGAATGTGGGGCGCAGGTATCCCAGCAGGCCACCATCGGGTTGAAAGGGGGCCTTGGGACAAGGGAGCTGCAGGTCCAAGAGAGAAGGGAGCCCGTGAGGCCTGGCTCCAGCGCGGCCGCAGAGGCCCAGGGCAGGCCCCGCAGCCTGGCCCCATCCTCTTGGAAAGGAACAGCAGAGACTTCACTCAGGCAAAGCCAGGCCCAGGGAAAGCCGGGAGCAGATAGTGCGAGCAAGCTGGGGGGGCGGCCGAGAGGGAAATAGGCATGGGGCCGTGGCAGCCCTGTGGGGGATAGGGAGTCGCTTCCCAGTAAGAAGCTTTTAGGCTTCTGAAGAACCTGCATGGCAAGCCCACCCTCGGCCCCCTGCCCGGCCGGGGCCCGCCACAAGGCTCCATTTCCCACGTTGGATGAGTCAGTGTTGGGACTCCGAGTTCCTGGGTTCCCCCACTGCCTTTCTCTGCTCCCGGCCCCCTCCAGCATCCCACATGACATCGGGTGGCCCTGTCTCCTCGGGCTCCTCCAGGCTGTGACAGCCTCTCACACCTCCTTGCCTCTGGTGACCTGGACAGCTCCGAAGAGGACAGGTCAGGGCTGCTGCCGGACATCCCTTGCCAGAACACGTTTGGGGTTTTCCTTGTGATCCGGCTGAGGCTGTGAGTCTGGGGAGGAAAGCCCAGTCTTGTCACAGCACATCGAGGACACACACCGTCACGTGACCTGTCGCTGCTGGTGTCCCCTGAGCCTCCTGCTGGGGCCGCGTCCGTCTGTGTCAATTGTGAAGTTGCGCTCACGGTCCCGTCCCCACGCCACATGCAGCCACAGGAGGGGGGGAACCCGTGTCTATAGGAGTGCTGGAGCTCTGGGGGACACCTGCCTCCTCTCCCTCACTGGCTTATTTTTATGCAACTATCCATCCATCCATCTGTATCGAGTGGAGCCAGAGGTGTTCAGGTCACTCTGCTTGGTGCCGCCCCTCGACTCTGGGAGTCGCACCATCTGCCCTCGGCCCTGGGGCTCCTCCAGCTGGCCGGGTCCCATCCCATTTTCTGTCTGAGCCCGTCCGGCTTGTGGGCCCTGCAGGGCCCTCCAGGCGCATCTGGAACTTTTCTTGCCCAGCCCTGGAATGAGTTGGCTCTCCAAGGAGCCTGGGTCCTTCACTGGAGAACATCAGAGGCTGCGGTCCAAGCAGGGATGCATGTGTGAACACACACCTCCACGCCAAGCCTCCATCGACACGTACATGTCTGCGTCCACATGAGGCACGCGTGAGCTCACCCTGGCATCTCCAAGTCTGGCCTCTGAGTGCAGAAAGCCGCGCGGCTCGTCACTCTGGGAAGACGACAGAAGAGGGCGCCAGAGGGCCACGGGAGCAGCGAGGCAACACGGGCGCAGGGCGGGGAGATCGGCTCCCTGAGGATGCGGGACCTGCGCGCTCCAGGAGAACCCAGGATGGGACCCATGGATGGTGGCTCAGCCTGTCATCCTGCGCCTTTGGGAGGCCGAGGTGAGTGGATGGCCTGAGC